CAACCCAATCAGAACTTCTGTAGATAGACCTTGGGCATCACGAAAGGGCAGGTAAGCCATCCTCAGGTGATTCTCTTGTGCAGTGAGCACTGAGAACTGCTATTCTACAGCATGGGTTTCCATTACTCGAACAGAATCCTTGGTAACTGGTTAATGAGGATAGAGGCTTTGTATTGTGTTAACTGTTTTGCAAGGATCGTATGCATCCAGATGATGTTCTAGGAACTGTAAATACTAAGGGAAAAAACAGAAAACAAGATTGGGCATTGCCCACAAAGTACAACAGTTTTATTCTTTGTTTATCATAATATAGGCAAAAAGGAAAAAGAAACACATATTTATAAAAGTAATATTTATAAAATAATATAAACATGATAAATTATAAATATTTTATTTATAAAATAAATCAGTGAGCAGGTACAAGAGATTGTCCTTAGACATAAAAGCTAACATTAATTGACTACATATAGCAAAAAGCATATTGGTATTGCTAAAATTGGTGGTGATGGACAGAGAATATCAGCTTATGAGGGTTGCCTATTGTGCAGAGAAGGAAGGATTAATGCAGGAACGGAGCTCTGAAGATCTGATTCACTGTCTGTCTGTCAGTGGCTCAAGCACACAGTGATCAGGTACAAGAGATGCTCTTAGAGATAGAAACTCACATAAAGTAACTATGTATAGTGAAAACATACTGCTACTGATAAAACTGGTGGTGATGCACAGAGAATATCAGCTTATGAGGAAGAAGAGGGGACACTGACTCCCCAGAAGCCATTCAGTCCCCAGCCTCCCTCCCACCTGCATGAGGCTGCTGGAGCTCTGTGGCACCAAAAACCATCGGCTCCCAGGATTCTATAGTCCAGACTGAAGTTCTGGCTTCCTGCTCACAAGCTGTGTAAACCTGGATAGGTTACTTAACTTCTCTGTGCTTCTTACTGTCGCCTCAATTGTAAAACTGGTTTAATGACAGTGATTTGTTACCATGAGGGTTATAAAAGTAAACATTTACAGAGTGCTTAGATTCGTGCTTGAAAGGGCAAAAAATGGTCCAAGATGTATTATGTGATACATTTATTCTAGTTGGGATCAAAGGCAGAGGCTAGTCAAAAATCTTAGAGGTTTACCAGTACTATAGTAACTTTCGTTACTAAACTTGGTTTTGGAAAAAAAAAATGCCTGTGCTGTTTTGAGAATGAAGCTTCCTGCCCCATCCCTGCAGCATTGTCCAGAGCTCTGGATTGTGTGCAGGTGAGGCTCCACAGGTATAGAAACCTGCTCATCTGTAGCAGTGAGCACGGTCCATGCCCTCTTTATTGCTCCTGGGCTGGGTGGGACGTTGGAACCTTTGCAGAAGTGCTGTGGGTGGACCTTGATCGATCCTGCTGAACATCCTCTCTGTACTCCTAACACTTGAGTTAATATCACAATGATACTGCTTGTCACTTACACATATGTGCAAATGGGAAGACATCAGGATTAAAGAACAGTGCTGGGTCTGGGAAATTAGATATAGATGCTCTTACCACTTACCAGTGTATTTCCATATCTCTTCCTTTACAGTGATTATGTATTACTTATATTAAAACTTGGAAAGCAAAAATCCTATTTTCAAAGATTTTAATGGACCCACAAATGCTTAAGACATAATACTAAGTGGAAAAACAATACAAATGATCTTAATGGTATCTTCTTTAAAATATACATATAGAAAAACTACTGGAAGTTAATACTGTATATCTCAGGGATACAGGGCTTTGGGAACTTATATTTTCTTCTTTAGTTGTAATGAAATTTTTAAATTTAAATGACAAAACAGTTCCTTTACAATGGGAATTTATATGTCCTAATCAAAAGACATATTTAACTTATGAAAGAAATGGCATCACCAATTTTGTCTATTGTACAAATTTTAAAGAGTCCCTGTTGCTAATGCTTAGGATTGTGTTGCTTGAACCTTCTGAAAACTACATATACAGGAGAACTGTTGGCTCCTTTTTTCCTTCAATTACTGAATTCTCTATTCTTGACATTCTGCTGAGGCTCTATTAGACGACGGGAAAAATCATATAGAATGTCTGGTACTTTTTTCTCAAGACAGAAGGCATTAAATGTAATACTGGGTATTTTTCCAAATGTCTTAAATTGGGCTGCTAGGGTGTATAGGTTTGGAAGTCTTGACTTTTCTACAGGAGTCTTTTGGGAATTTACTGAGTATGTCACGCAGTGTTGGAGGAAACTTTTTGACCTAGAGTCTTGCTTAATATGCACGTGACTGACTCTGCACAGAAGGTTGGACCTGGCTGCTTCAAAGGGTCACCTATTGTGCGGGGAAGGAAGGGTTAATGTAGAAACAGAGCTCTGAAGATTCAATTCCCTGTCTGTCAATGGCTCAGGCACACAATGATCAGGTACAAGAGATTGTCCTTAGAGATACAAACTAACATTAATTACTCAAAACCTTTTATGCCATGATTAGGGTAGAACTTACAGTACTTATGAAATTAGCCGTGGTTCACGGTTCATCCTTTCTGACTTCTGATAAGGTTAAGATATGAGACTGGGCCAGGCGTGGTGGCTCACTCCTGTAATCCCAGCACTTTGGGAGGCCTAGGTGGGTGGATCATGAGGTGACAAGTTCAAGACCAACTTGGCCAACGTGGTGAAACCCTGTCTCTACAAAAAAACTACAAAAATTAGCCTGGCATGGTGGCACATGCCTGTGGTCCTGGCTACTCGGGAGGCTGAGGCAGAAGAATCGCTTGAACCCGGGAGGCGGAGCTTGCAGTCAGTGAGCCGCGATCGCTTCACTGCACTCCAGCCTAGGCGACAGGGTGAGACTCTGTCTCAAAAAAAAAAAAAAAAAAAAAAAAAAAAAAAAAAAAAAAAAAGATATGAGACTGAACTTTACCAAGAAATGCAGTTCAAAATAATGAAACTAGCATTTCAGTACAATGAGAGAAACACATATTTGGAAACCAATGAAACCGCCAAAATAAAATATTCAATTGAGCATGACTGTGTTCACAAATCCACCTCCCTAGGACAACATGCATGTGGGATGTCTTGTGTATATTGGAAGCAGTTCTAGGAGTGAATGAACTAAATTTTTTCCCTTGAGCTGATGACTTTGGTTCTATATTAAGCAAAACTTACAATGTAATAAATCTCAAAATAAAATTAATTAAATGTCCTCTAACCCTTCCTCAGATAATATTCTACTTTGAAGAACACCAATAGACAGAAGCAAGAGGACTACTTTTTAATGCTAAAGTATGCAAAACCTGCCACTTCACTGGCAAGCCATGAATTATTCATAAATATAGACTTGGTTAATATCTTTAAAAATGCAGCGTATTTTGCCTTGTGATTTCGAGCTTGGATAACAGTTTTGGAATCATGACATATGAACCAAATTACAACAAGCCCCCATATTGATTTTCTGTAGATTAGGGAAATATGTTCATTGACTCAGTAAGAGATGATCAGTAGGTACCCGAAATAAGGAAATTAAACTCATCTTTTGCACAGCAGTTTTGGCAGGATTTGTGCTAGGAACACTGAAATAAAGAATGTATCATTTTAGGGAAATGTTTATTATATGTTTTAACAGCTGAAGAATATTATTCAGTGGTTTCTCACTAGCTTTGCCTAAAAAATTTGATTAAATTGTGGGCCTCTCCATTGAGCAGGAGACACTAATATCAAATGTGTGTGCATAAGCTGGAGTGACAAATCCTTTAGTCTCAAATCACTGGGCTGGAAAGGGTATCCCATCATCATCTCTCCCTATAGTTAGTTTAGACTTAAGTTTTCTTTTTTTTTTTTTTTTTTTTTTTTTTTTGAGATGGAGTCTCAGGCTGTTGCCCAGGCTGGAGTGCAGTGGCGCGATCTCGGCTCACTGCAAGCTCCGCCTCCCGGGTTCCCGCCATTCTCCTGCCTCAGCCTCCTGAGTAGCTGGGACTACAGGCGCCCGCCACCGCGCCCGGCCAATTTTTTGTATTTTTAGTAGAGACGGGGTTTCACTGTGGTCTCGATCTCCTGACCTTGTGATCCGCCCGCCTCGGCCTCCCAAAGTGCTGGGATTACAGGCTTGAGCCACCGCGCCCGGCCTTAGACTTAAGTTTTCAAAATGCATTTATTTTTAAATTCACTGACCTACCCCAACCTCTTGCTTCTCAAATAATGCTGTTCTTTATAAGGGGTTTTTCAGATTGAATTGGACTTCCTCAGCTCCAGGCCACACAGAGTATTGTGTATACTTAATCATAACTTAATGCTTTTACAACTGCTCTAAAGGGATTACTATGGATTCCATCTCAAATGCCTCACAGTTACATTATTTTCCCATACTTATAATTACCTGCAAAGGTTTTTAGATGCGATGCACTTTTTCCATAAATACTTGATGTAATCTACATTTTGTTTGTCACATTTTGTTCATTTCTGTTGTGGACGCAAAATATCAGAGCAATTTAAGATCTTACTGAATGAGAAACTTGAACAGAAATAATGACGTAGTATCTGCCATTTTTATTCTAACTAAATAAAATCAAATATCAATTTAAAACATGCAATAAAAAATCAACATTACATGAGAAAGATACAATAACACATGTTATTATTAAAACCAAAGTAGGTGAATAAGAGTATTAACATGGCTATGTTGAGCTGGGTCTTTTAAACCCGATTGCTAATGAAATCAGGCATTAGGAAGTGAGTCTTCAGTTAGAAACACCGTGTTTGACTTTTGTCTTCTAAATGAGAGTGGCTGCAGCTTAGACACTGGGTAAGAGAATGGGAGGCCCCCAGCTTGGGAACCTCAGCAGGTCTGACTCCTGCCTTCCTCTTTCAGCCCTAGAACAAAGAATAAGGTAATTGAGGTGATTTCTGGCTTTTTGTTATACTCCCTCAAGGCCAAGGAAAGGGAACCGGTCTTGTGCTCTGACTTAGAATATTCACAAGAACACTATCACATAGTTGTTACTCTCATTCCCCAGTGAACATACGCGGAGGTGAACATGACCTATGATTTCAGAGCTGGGAAGAGACCTGGCGCTTTCATTCAGGAGGAGTCCAAGGAAACGAGCGGTTTGCTGTCAGGGCTGGCAAAGAAACACTGGGAGAAGCTTCACCTACATTTTCTGCCGCACCAAAGGTTTTTGCTACCAGCAAAAACGAGGACATAAGAGTAAGAGTCTTCATGGTTTTATTCTCATCTCTGCCTCTCAGCGGTGTGACCTTGGTCAAGTTGTTCTATTTCTTCCTGAAATAGGAAAAGCTCCTGTGTATACGGGTGTGTGTGTGTGTGTGTGTGTGTGTATTAAATGTAATGATATCACATATGTGCAGAGTCTGGTTCATGGACAGCCTCCAACACATGGTGTGCAGCAAAGGAAGAGCAGCTGGGCTGGAACTGTCATCTGTAGAAAGGCCTGTTGTCAAGATCGGCCCTTTTTCATCTGGGAACTTGTCTCTCAATGTCAATCGTTCACTGATAAGAGCACCCATGGTGCCTAAACTGCTGTGCAAATGATATTGTTTATGTGAACACCTGCTTTTCCTCTGGGGAGTCTGGAATTTGGGGACTCGTCAAAAGAAAGAAGCAGGTGTTCACATAAGCCATACCCTCTGCTAGACAGAGGGTGTCTACATGACCAGCCCACAGTAAAACTCCTGGGCACTGAGTCTGTAACAGATTTCCCTTCGTTGAAACACGTTATTCATGTTTCAGCAGTTTTACTGTTGGGGGAAGAGTGTGCTTTGTGTGACTTTTGTGGGAGCGAGATTATGAGAATCCTGCACATGGATTCCTACCAACTCCACCAGTATAACCCTTGTGGTTCGATTGAATATCTGACCAATATTGCAGTAATAAAACTTAGCTGTATAAACAATATGTGCAGAGCCCTGTGGATCTTTCTAGGGAAATCTCTGAACAGGCAGGTGGTCCTAGGAACCCCAGAAACCAACAGGGCTTGTTACTATCACACTGTGAACTTCACTATGGTGTATCCTTATTTTACCCCTTTCTGAACCTCTTACAGGTCAAGAAAAAAGGCTCAAGAAAAATATAATACAAATATTCCAAAAACTGAAAAAGTGCTTGGGACTGAAATGCTTCCAGTCCCAAGCATTTTGGATAAGGGATACTCAACTGTATCTGCTCTGCTAAGATCTGTAGTCCCAGATCTACAATTACACTTTCGTAATTGAGCTACATTTTTCATTTTTGCTCTGTGGGTTATACTTTAAAATTAGGCCCAAATTTACTGAAGGACATAAATTTTTTTGTATGAAAAGACTTCCAATACCCTAGTCCTGTCTAACACATTGCATTAAAAGAGTATATTCCTCTAGGGGAACTTTATGAGGATTGTTACAGCTAAATCTGGTAAGGTATCATTTGCAGCAGACTTAAGGATCTTAGAGTACAAGACTCTGGCAGATTTTTAGGACCATGCAGTGTTCGAGGATGGGTGTCACTCCCAATTACAGAGCTGGCACAATGTTCTTGGCCCTATGCTCAGCATTTGACAAGCTTCACCTCACATAATTCTGATGACAATCCAAGGAGGGAGGTTCTACCATTATACCCATTTTATATAGAAGGGAACTGAGAGAATTTAAATAGCTTGAGGCTAAGAAATGTTTTCAAGTCCACACAGCTGTTAAGTGTCAGAGCTGTATCCAACCTGACTTCATCTGACACCAGACCCTGAGGCCTCTACATCCTGCCTTTCACAAGATACTGTTTGACAGTTTCAGGGAAATCGTTGAAACCAGAGACAAAAATACAATCCTTGAAGGATTTGTGGAAAATCACATCTATTCCTAAAGTATGCACTTTCACAAAAATTTCTCAAAACGGTTCCTCCTATTTGATCTTGTTTTTGGTATGTAAATTTTAAATACAACCCATGTCTTCCCCAACAGGGGCAGGGAGCTTCCTTCCTTCCTTCCTTTCTTCCTTCAGGAGCTTCCTTCCTTCCTTCCTTCCTTCCTTCCTTCCTTCCTTCCTTCCTTCCTTCCTTCCTTCCTTCCTTCCTTCCTTCCTTCCTCCCTTCCTCCTTTCCTCCCTCCCTCCCTCCCTTCCTCCCTCCCTTCCTCCCTTCCTCCCTTTCTCCCCCCTCCCTCCCTTTCTCCCCCCTCCTTCCCTCCCTCCCTCCTTCCCTCCTTCCCTCCCTCTCTTTCTTTCTTTCCTTTTTTTTTTTTTTGAGAGGGAGTCTCACTCTGTCGCCCAGGCTGGAGTGCAGTGGCGCAATCTCAGCTCACTGCAAGCTCCGCTTCCCGGGTTTACACCATTCTCCTGCCTCCAGAGCAGCTGAGACTACCAGTGCCCGCCACCACACCTGGCTAATTTTTTGCATTTTTAGTAGAGACGGGGTTTTACCGTGTTAGCCAGGATGGTCTCTATCTCCTGACCTCGTGATCCGCCCTCCTTGGCCTCCCAGAGTGCTGGAATTCCAGGCGTGAGCCACCGTGCCCGGCCCAGGGAGCTCTTTCTTTCTCACTTGTCATCCGGGTCAACAGATGCAGCCAGTGCAGGTTGAATATCCCTGATCCAAAAATCCGAAATCCCACATTCTCCAAAATCTGGAACTTTTTCAGCACTGATGCTCAAAGGAAATGTTCACTGAAGGGTTCTGGATTTCAGATTTTCAGATTAGGGATGTTCAATGATAAGTATAATACAAGTATTCCAAAACTGAAAAAATCAGTTTCCAAATATGATAAATATAATACAAATATTCCAAAATTGAAAAAATGCTTGGGACTGAAATACTTCTAGTCCCAAGCATTTTGGATAGGGGTACTCAACTGTATCTGCTCTACTGAGATCTGTTACCAGGTGGGAGGTGAGGATGCAACACTTATTCTAACGCTTTGAAATAGGGACACCGCCTGCCCGCAACCTTTGTCTACATTTCCAATCTTAGCCTCTAGCTATTAATATAATGATAATTATACTTATGAAAACAGCAATAAAAATATTAATAATTTTCCAAAAACATTGATTAGGTGCTGGGAATTGTGCTAAGGGCTTTACACATACAATTTTATTTAATCTTCCCAAGAACCACCATATAATTGGTATTCGTAATCCTTATTTTTCAGACAAAGAAACCAGGGTACAGAGATATTAATCATTCAGCTCATATCTCTCAGCTGGAATGTGGAAAAGCCGACAGTCACCCACAGCTCTGGGTTTGACCCAAAACTGCCTGCAATTCCCTACTATGTGATCTACAAATACAAAGACTGCAGACAGCATAGCATTCTCCTGTTTGAGAAATACAGCAGCAGCCTTGGTCTTCTTACACGTTGCAGACATATGCAGCATGAAAGGAGAACAGCTTTCATAACCAACGACGAGTGTTCTAAAATACACACCTTGGAGCAGCTGCCTCCTATAGTTACAGGAGGTGGCTGGTCGGGCGTGAGCAGGACAGTAGAGGGCTCCCCTGACCATACACACGCCAGGAGTGTTGGGTGACCACCAGGTGATGGTCAGGCTGTTGCTAACCCTTTTCAAAAGTAATGATTAGCCACAGCCTGCACCAGGAAAAGGCAATATCCTAATAGACAGAAAACACCTGAAACTGATCAGCAGCTTCCCAATAAGATCCCGGAAGTATGCCAACGTAGAAAATCCCAAGTCAGGCCGGGTGCGGTGGCTCACGCCTGTAATCCCAGCACTTTTGAGGCCAAGGCGGGCGGATCACAAGGTCAAGAGATCAAGACCATTCTGGCCAACATGGTGAAATCCCGTCTCTACTAAAAATACTAAAATTAGCTGTGCATGGTGGCACGCGCCTGTAGTCCTGGCTACTCGGGAGGCTGGGGCAGGAGAATCACTTGAACCTAGGAGGCGGAGGTTGCAGTGAGCTGAGATAATGCCACTGCACTCCAGCCTGGCAACAGAGCGAGACTCCATGTCAAAAAAAAAAAAAAAAAGCCGCAAGTCAAGAAGTCAAGCTGTGTACTTGGTTTCTCTAGTCGCCCCCTTGGCCCTCTCCCAAGTTGTACTTTCCTTCCCTTGCCTTTCCTTCCTTTCCTTACTGTTCTAATAAATTTTTAATAAAAGTTCACTCCTGCTCTGAAACTTGCCTCGGTCTCTCCTTCTGTCTCATGCCCCCTAGTAAAATTCTTTCTTCTCAAGAGGCAAGAATTAAAGTTGCTGCAGACGCATAGGGATTCGCCACTGGTAACTCAGTGTAACTCAAGATACCTGTCACCAGTAACACTATGACATATTATGGCCCTTATACCAAGCTTGGAGGTAATGTGCTAAATCAGTCTAGTTTTTGTAAGACCTTCTCTGAGACAGAACTATGACCTGTTGGATTCAGATCAGGTAAATAGAGATAAAGTATGTTTATCCTTACACACCGAGTGTGCTTTTGAAACTCAATATATACGGTCATGATTTTTCCCTTGTCACTATGTATATATGACCAGGTCTGGTAAAACACAGGCCATTCTTTTTTTCCTTATAGGTCTTTGTTATAAATATCTTAGCATCTTCATACAACATATTTCCTGTAATTTTTCCAAGTGAGCTTTAATTAATTTCTTTAAATAAAACATGTTATTAGTACAAAGTACACATAAGATTTGTCATCTTAGCCGTTTGTAAGTATTCAGACCAGTGGTATTAAGTCCATTCATATTGTTGTGTTGTGGACTATGTATTTTGACATTAGGTACTGAACATTCCTGGGCAAAACTGAGGAAAACAACGTGAAAACTTTCTTTTCCCCGTATATCCTGAACTGTGGTCTCTAGGCATTGCAGGGACATGGCAGAATTCACTAGAGCACTGGAGTAACAACATTCTATTTCAAGTGCTTTAGCTCCTGAAGAACTCTAAGATATAGTTAGCTAACATGGAATGTTAGTTACTATGTTAGATCTAGTTAACCTAACATTGAACAAAGCTGCTAAATACATCAAACAATGAGCTACTTTGAGAGGCATGCAGTCTAATAATGGTGAAGATGATAGAGTTTTGTGTAACAAAATGAATGTTCCATAATTTCTTTTTAAAAAAGGCAAAGTGGACCTTATCAAAATGCAAAATGCTTGCACTTCAGAAAATGTGAAGAAAATGAAAAAAACAACAGACAGAGAGAAAACATTTGTAAAATACAAATCGGATGAAGGACGTTTCTCTAGAATTCACAATGAACTCTTAAAAATTCAATAATAAAAATACAACTCAAACCAAAGTAGGCAAATGATATGAATAGATATTTCACCAAGGAAGGTATGTTAGTGGTTAATAAGCCTGTGGAAAGATGTTCACCATCATTAGTCATTAGGAAAATGTAGGTTAAAACCACAAGGAATACCATTTCACACCCACTAGAATGACAACGGTAAATGAGAAAGATGAATACAAGTAGTACTGTAATATTGACTGAAATGTAAAATGGCACCACCACTTTGCAAAACTGTTCTTCACAGAGTTAAATGTAAAACTACCATATGACCCAGCAATTTTACTTTTGGAAAAAGAGGTAAGATGAAAACACATGTCCATGTGAAAACTTATGCACGAATTGTTCATAATAGAATTATTCATAATAGGAAAAAGTAGAAACAACTGAAATTTCCATCAGTTGGTATGTAGATAAGATACAATATATTCATAAGTGAAATAGTATTCAGCAATAAGAATGAATGGACTACTGACACACGCAATGTCATGGGTGGACTTACGATTACCATGTTAAGTGAAATAAGCCAGACACAAGGGAACACGTATTGTATGTTTCCATTTATGTAAAATGTTCAGACAAGGCATATTTATAGAGATGGTAAAGTAGATTAGTAGTTGCCTGGAGCTGGAGATGGGACCAGGGATATATTGTAAATGGGATCTTATGGGAATATATATTTTTTGAAATGGAGTCTCACTTTGTTGCCCAGGCTGGAGTGCAGTGGCGTGATATCGGCTCACTGCAGCCTCCACCTCCCAGGTTCAAGTGATTCTCCTGGCTCAGCCTCCTGAGTAGCTGGGATTATAGGCACCCACAACCAAGCCCAGCTAATTTTTGTGTTTAATTTATTAGAGATGGGGTTTCACCATGTTGGCCAGGCTGGTCTTGAAAATTTTTGTGTTTAATTTATTAGAGATGGGGTTTCACCATGTTGGCCAGGCTGGTCTTGAACTCCTGACCTCAGGTGTTCCATCCACCTCGGCCTCCCAAAGTGCTGGGATTACAGGCATGAGCCACCATGCCTAGTCACATATAGGAATATTTTAAAGCTGACTTATAGTAATGCTTTCAAGACTTAGTAAAGTGACTAAAAGTCATGGAACTGTGCACCTGAAGTGGATGAATTTCAAACGGTCAAATATACCTCAACAAAGTTGTTTTTAAAAAACAATGATAAGATTTCTTCATTTTCTAGTGCTGCTGTAACATGCTTAGCTTAAAACAGCAAAACTTTATAGTCTTACTGTTCTACGGGTCATACATCTGAGTTTTTCTGCCTTAAACCAAGATATGGACAAGGCTGCATTCTTTTCTGGAGGCTGTAGAGAAAAATTGGTTTTCTTGCTCTTTCTAGCTTCTAGAAGGTGCCCATGATTCTTGGCTCATTGCTGCCTTTTATCTGTAAACCCAGCAATGGTGGTGAGTCCTTCCCACATTGACTCACTTCGATGTGTGCTTCTCTGACCCTCCTTGGCATCCGTTATCCACCTTGAAAAACCCTTGTTATTATTGAGCCTACCCAACAATTTAGGATAATCTCTCCCACTTTAAGGTCCACTTGATCACACCTCCAAATCTGTTTTGCCGCATAAGGTGACACTGTCAAAGATTAGAGAAACTAGGACATCTTTGGGGAAGGGGACATTATCTGCTTAGCACACAGAGGGTCTCAGTTCAGACTTCCTGGCGAGACTGCCAGTTGCTTAGTGGTGTGACTTGGACACGTTGCCCATCCTTGCTGTGTTTCAGTGTCTTCATTGGTGTAATGACCATGATATTAGTATCTGATGCACGAATTACTTTGAGAGATATAAATGGGTTAATGCATATAAAATACTTAAAATTTTAACCTAGTTAATATTCATAAAGGTTCAACATATATTAGCTATTATTATTATATTATTGTTTAGTCCAGTTCATTAATCATTTACTTTTCTTTTCACAGATATCAATAAGAAGGGCCCTCTATGGCTGCAGAACAAAGAGAAAGGCCCACATTTCCTTGGCAAAAGTAACCAACACCTGTGTTATGCATTCAGCTGTGTTAAATCAATCTCGGTACAACTGATGGCCTGGAGGAGTCTGCTGCTATCAAGTACAGACTCAAGAAATGTAGTGGGTGAGCCTATGACTAGGAAATGTCAAAAGGACTGGGAGACCAGGCTGCCAACCCACCACAGTAGAAACAACAAACTCTGCTCATTCATTTGGAAATACAAAATCTCTTTTAGGGGAGTGGGAAGACCGGAAAGAACTTTTTCAACTGAAGGTGATAGAAATTCCATCTCAAATTGGCAACAATATGAAGTTTATTCATATTTATCATAACTGAAATATCCAGGAAGGAGACTCCTTCAGGTATGGCTTGAACCAGTGATATGGTTTGGCTGTGTCCCCACCCAAATCTAATCTTGAACTGCAGCTCCCATAATCCCCAAGTGTTGTGGGAGGGACTCAGTGGGAAGTAGTTGAATCATGGGGGTGCATTTTTCCCATGATAGTGAATAAGTCTCAAGAGATCTGATGGTTTTATAAATGGGAGTTCCCCTACTCATGTTCTCTCTTGCCTGCCACCATGTGAGATGTGACTTTGCTCCTCATTCGCCTTCCACCGTGATTGTGAGGCCTCCCCAGCCATAAGGAACTGTGAGTCAAACTTCTTTCCTTTATAAATTATCCAGTCTCAGGTATGTATTATTAACACCACGAGAACAGACTAATACAACCAGGGATTTCCTTAATGTCACCAGCATCTGGTTACTTTCTTTTCTTCTATTTGCACTGTTTCCCCCTGCTGGTTTAATTCTTAGACAGAATCTCCCTTTTTGAAGGCACAATGGCTGTATTATCTCCAACTTTTCATTCTACCTGACTCCAGTTCCCTTAAAAAGAACAGGTGCATCTTCCAACACTCCCAGACAGGGACCCATCGTTACTCGTCAGCTCTGATTAACTCTGAAATGGACATCTATGAACCAACCACTGGGACCGGAGAAACTGAACAATCCAGTTGATCTGGCCTGGGTCAATACCCTTCTATGTAATAAGACAGAAGAGGCTTCCCAAATTCATAATCTGAGAGTGGAAGAGGACTGCCTACAGCAAACTGAGCTGTTATTACTGGGGAAAGGGGAGGGCTCAGGGACTGCTGATAAAGAGCAAATGTGCACCATGAAGCAGCCAGAAGGCCCTATACCTTGAGAACAGATTTGCATATCCCACAGTGTCTTTAGCTTTGATTCATGCAATCAGGTCACTTCAAGCCAAGCCCTATGAGAAAAGGGGTCTGTGGGGAAGAAAAGATCTGATTTGATAGGGGAAAAAGAGGTACCATAATTAGGTCAGTTCCACAGGGTCTGCTTACACAGAGGAGCAAGGTTATGGCTCAGCATAGTGAGAAGAGCCTTTTTCAAAGTGGGATGAGACTCTTCCAGAGTAGGGAGTGGATGGCTGCTAAAGGGAGTGTATCAGTTTGGATCCAATCAGTAAAAAGGAAGTTAGAGTGGTTACTTTAGCAGAAATAGGTTAATACATAGAGTTGGTTAAATAGATACTGATGGACTGAATGGGCAGAAGGGAGACTTAGATAACAGTTCTAGTAAATGACAGAAGCAGTTCCCTAGTGATATGATTTGGATCTGTGTCCCTACCCAAATCTTATGTCTAATTGTAATACCCAGTGTTGGAAGTGGGGTCTGATAGGAGATGATAGGATTATGGGGGTGGTGTTCTCATGAATCATGTAACACCTTCCCCCCTTGGTATAATGAGTGAGTTCTCATTAGATCTGGTTGTTTAAAAATGTGTAGGACCAGCCCATGGAGGGTGAAGCAAAGCAGGGTGGGGCGTCAC